AGCTAAATATGCTAGTAGATGTAGCTAAATATGCTAGTAGATGTAGCAAAATATGCTAGTAGTAGTAGCAAAATATGCTAGTAGATGTGGCTGAATATGCTAGTAGATGTAGCAAAATATGCTAGTAGTAGTAGCAAAATATGCTAGTAGTAGTAGCAAAATATGCTAGTAGATGTGGCTGAATATGCTAGTAGATGTAGCAAAATATGCTAGTAGTAGTAGCAAAATATGCTAGTAGATGTGGCTGAATATGCTAGTAGATGTAGTTAAATATGCTAGTAGATGTAGCTAAATATGCTAGTAGATGTAGCTAAATATGCTAGTAGATGTAGCTGAATATGCTAGTAGATGTAATCTGCTGCCACTTCTTCAGGTCGTCCTCCATCTCTCGTCCTCAGCAGGCAGTGGTATGATTATATTGTCCTGTTGGAGCTCTGACAGGTGGTGTTCCTACATGTTTAAATTAAATCCACAATGCTCAGAGAAACTACATTAGCTCGTACCGTTTGCTCATAAACATCCTGATGCTGCTCAATAATCCAGGTAGAAAAATCTAAAAAAGTTAAGTCTGGTCCTCCGGACATTCAAAAAACAAAACAAAGCACAAAAAAAAAAAGTAGAAACGTTTTGTCTTTCATCCGAAAGACTTCTTCAGTAGAAGACTGGACTGAAGAAGTCTTTCGGATGAAAGACGAAACGTTTCTCCTTTTTTTTTTTTGAATGCCCAGAGGAGCCGACTTAACGTTTTTAGTTTGCTCATAAACAAACGGCAGTTCTGGTCCGTGCTGGAAGTCGTGCCGATAATTCCCTCAAAGCAGCGTGGAGAGTAGGAATAAGGTGGACAGGCTCTGACTCGGTGTGCAGCACAAGATAAATGCCCTTTGGCTCAAATAAATACAGATAAACAGATTGTTTGATCAGCTCAGTGTGTGACTCACGGTGCCTGGAAGAGGTACACCCTCCAGTCAGCGGTGCGCAGGTAGAAGACGTTGGGTCTCTTGCTGTAGTCAGAAGCCTTCATCGCCAGAGAGTGATGGATGGAAACGGCGTTCTTCAGGTCTTCGTCTGAGAGCTGCTTGTCGGGCCGGTACTCCCCCTGAGACAGAGGTCAAAGAGAGAAACACTTACAGGTGTTGCCCAGCAGACAGGAGCCGAAACCGAAAGCAAACTGGAAAAAGACATCCTAACAGCTTCCAGCTCTGGTTTCATTTTGATGTGCAGAGAAACCGTTGGCCTCGTCAGAGGACGGACATTTAGTCGATGTTGTCCAGAAAGTTCCAGATTAATTTTGTTTTTCAGAATGGGGGTTGTAAAAACACAGATTAAGAATAATGCGAGGATCTTACTTTTTGCAGATAAAGAATTAGGCCTTTGAGGATGACGTAGAACGTCTTCCACCCTCTCTTCCCTCTTGGTGCTGCGAGGAAAACCACAACATTAAAATTAAATAAAAAAACACTTGATTGGTTTCCAAAAAAATAATACAGGGTACATTTATTCCAAAATATCTCACTGGAGGGACTTTAAAGGAACTCTCAAGGATGTACGGTAACTGGTGAAGCTAATTCAAGATGGCTGCCACAGCTAATCAACCTTAGCAAACACATAACCAGCTATAACTCAATCATTTCTACAGATATTGAGCTTAAATTTGGTGAGGTAGTAGCTGAGAGTCCTCCCAAAAACATACAGACTGAAGAAACCAAATATTCAATCATTATCGTCATGAAGTCTCCAGAATCCAAACTTATGAGCTCCGTACTTCTCTTTCCGTCTGAGTCAGCGTGGACCTTCCGGACCAGGAACCCGTTCTTGTAGAGCAGGGTCCCCGTGGGCTTCGTCCCCTCCGAGACCAGCCCCTCGCTGCTGCCCTCCCTCTTCATCGATCTGGAGGTATCAGAGTCACACAGACTGTCCCCGAGCTCCGAAAACGACTTCCGCAGCTCTTCCTCGTCACTATGGCGACAAAGGAGAGATGAAAAATAAAAACATGGATTCCCGTGGTGACGGACACTTACGTGTCACGTCTCATTAGCTACATGGACAAACACATTGTCACTGGTCCTGTCTGTTTGGACATGAGATCCTGCAGATTTCACACGAGTAATTTTATCGTGCGCCATCTCTGCTTCACTTCACATGGAGTACAAGACGCTCCGAGCTGAAAAACTCCGGATTTACAGGAAGTCGTTTTCAAGTTTTCAACTCTTCTGGTAATTCTGACAACATTCATCAATATAAAACACCCAAAACCTTAGTTGAATATATGAAGCACAAAAGCTTTAGTTTATCTTACAAACGCACGGTTGTCAGCTGTGAACATAAATGTGACTGTCAAAATAAAAGTTTCAGGAGTGAAACAGGAAGAACTCATAACAAAATAAAAATGTACATCAAAATAATTTGTCTTATTGTGGTCAACCAAATGGGACAGACTAACAGATGAGGTCAGGCAGGAATCCCCGTGATGTTTGCAGATGACATTGTGATCTGTGGTGAGAACAGGAAACAGGTGGAAGAGAACTTGGAGAGGTGGAGGTATGAACTTGAGAAGAGGAATGAAAGTCAGTCGTAGTAAGACAGAGTCCATGTGTGTGAATGAGAGGGAGGAGGTGGAACAGTGAGGCTACAAGGAGCAGAGGTCACAAAGGTGCAGGACTTCAAGGAACATGGGGTCCACTGTCCAGGAGCATGGGGAGTGTGGTGAAGAGGTGAAGAAGAGAGTCCAGGCAGGATGGAGTGATGGAGAAAAGTTTCAGGAGTGATTTGTGACAAAAGGGTGTCAGCAAAGGTCAAAGGAAAAGTTTACAAGACAGTGGTGAGAGCAGCGATGTTGTATGGTCTGGAGACGGAGACATGGACAAAAAGACAGGAGACAGAACTGGAAGTGGCAGAAATGAAGATGTTGAGGTTCTCCTGAGGAGAGACAAGGATGGAGAAGATCATCAGAGGTACAGCACAGGTTGAACAACTGGGAGATAAAGTTAGAGAGGACACACTGAGATGGTTTGGACATGTCCAGAGGAGGGACAGTGGTTTGGACATGTCCAGAGGAGGGACAGTGGTTTGGACATGTCCAGAGAAGGGACAGTGGGTATATTGATAGAAGGATGTTAGAAATGTAGCTGCCAGGAAAAAGACTAAGAGGAGACACATGGACGCAGTTAGAGAGGACATGGACGTAGTTGGAGTGAGGACAGAGATGGAGGAGGATGACTCGCTGTGGCGACCCCTGAAGAAGGGAGCAGCCAAAAGAAGAAGAAGAAAAAGTGATCAACCAAACTGATCTTTGACCCCAGTGTGTTGTGATGTACACGCTCTAAACCCATCGGCACAACAGTTCTTTTCCTGCAGACGCCAACAATAAACCAAGAAACTCCAAAATAATCTGCAACTGCCAAAAGTAGTCGATCTGGAGCACCTTTACCGTCACAACTCCACACTCTCTAGACCACTGGTTCTCAGCTGGTCCATCATTAATGACCAGCTGCGTCCAAAATGGAGGAAAACGTTCAACTTCTCACGTGTGTTAAGATGGTTCAGTCTGAAGCCGAGAACCTAAAGAGAACCTCACGTGACACAAAACAACTAGTTTCACGATTAAACAGACCAGCAAGTGGCGACGCTAAAGACGGAAATATGCACGTTTACCGTCCGTCCATCCAGAGAACAGGCCGACTCCGCACACAATGGGTCCCCGGCCAGGATTCGATCCCGCAGCCTTCTCACTGAGAGGCAACAGCTCTGCACCACCGTGTCACCATGTTTACTGTCCGTTTCCTGCGTTTTTATTTAAAACTCTTCCTCTTCACTTCAGTAACTTCAGCGTTTTTTCAGACTCGGTGCTTTGATGCACAAGAATGAAACACAAAAACTCACAACACTGACATCGTTTTAAAAAGACTCAAATATCAAACGCTTTAGCTGAATGCCAATCCACCGACTGTCTTAATAAAAACATTAATTTTCTTATTTAAGAATTAACCAGGAAGCTGAAAAACAATCAGAACATTGACTGTTTTCCCCTAAACCATTTTATTTCCCAAGTAAAGGCCCTCAGTCCTCTTCGGGGTCACCAGTTAGGAATCCCTGGTCCAGATCACCGGTTTTAATTTGGGGGGGCATGTACCCCCCTGGGGGAATGTGTAATTATTTTTAAAGCTCCTCAAACATAACAGCAACACATAAAAACTCAAAGTAGTTTTTTTTTATTAATTGTTTCAATAAAAACAAGACTACAAACTAAATTTCTAAAATCAAGTTTAAATTTCTAAATCTAACAAAATCAGATTCTTCCACATATTAAAAGGTTTTTGGTTAAAAATATTTCATGGTTTCAGTTCGAGAACAACTTTTTTAAATTTTCATAGAAACTGGAGCCCTTTGCCTTGATGTTCATTTACTCTGTAAAACATGCAAATGTCCCATAAGTGACTGATTTATTATACTTTACAGCTTCGTCAAACCAAATACCTCGTTAAAAAACGTTTCACAGAGGGCGCACCGAAAAAAGTTGGGAGACGTTGTGCTAAAAGACTAGAAGCTTAAAAACTAATCAGCAAAACCAAGTTTAAAGGGAGCACCTCTACTTCCGGATGAAACGGGATAGGATATAAATATAAAACACTCAAATCCTAACGTTTCCACAGCAGAGCTAATCCTAATCTTTTGTAAATACAGTCCACTGTTTGCATCTTTTTGTCTCGTTAGCTTTAACAACATGGAGTGCACCTTCTGGGCGAGGAAACAGAAACTCCACTCGTTACCTCACCAGGTGGCACCCATGCAAAAGTTCAGGCTGAAAATAGAAAATGGCTGGACGCCCCTCCTGAGAACACGCGATGAGTAACCAACAAGAACATAACAGCAGTTAACCCCGTGTAGGCCTCGCCGAGAGGAGGAGAGGCAGCGACGGAGCCAATAGGCATGTGGGCTGTTGCCTGGTAACTGCCGGCCTTTCCTCCATCCGACCGTCTCCACGCAGACACAAAGAGGAGAGAGGATGGAGAAGTGACAGCAGAGGAGAACGAGGCTTCTCCTCCTCAGATGGCAGAACGATCGAGAGCGAGCGATGAGCCGGAAGGACATTTAAAACGAAGAGCGAACCGATGACGAGAGGGAAGCAGAAATTAATAAAAACTATTCCAAACGTCTTCTACACATCCGGTTGTTTTCTTTCTGGGTCGCGGTGGAGCTGGGGTCTCACCTGGACAGGTTAGAAGACCAATTTAGAAAAGCAATTAATTTAAAAAAAAGAGGATAAAGAAAGAAAAAACTGGCAACATAAAGGAAGGGAAAAGCAGGTCAGATAAGGAAAGGGCAGTAGAAGAAAGGAATCATGTTTCAGTGTGGAGTAGAACCGCAGGCGCAGACAAAACTCAAAGACTCGAAGGTGAAATACAAAAAAACTTGTTTGCTTAAGAAAACAAACGCTGGCAGCAAAAACCCTCACAGGAATGATAAACTCGAGAAAACACGGGGGAACAAAGCATGAACAGCATAACGCCAGGACGGGGAACTAAAGACCAGGAAATGAATATAACAGGACACTAATGAGGGAGAAATGACAAACACCTGGGGAGACCATGAGGATCAGGTGAGAGTGGGAGGAGCAAGAGCTGACTAGAGGAGGGGGAAACCCCGAGGATGACGAGGTAAACACAAGAAACGCAAAAGACAGGAAACTACAACATAAACAGCACAGGAAAGGAAAGAAGACAGGGTAGCAAAGGAAGTATTTAAGGAACAAACAAAACAAGTAAACAACGGACATATAAATTTAAAATGTAACAAAAACTTAAAAAAAAACACCTAGACTTGAATGAAAAGAGATAAAGTAGAGGATGAGATTAAATAAACAAGGGATTCAAATAACATGAAAAGAGAAAAAGAAAAGTAAATTCAGAAACGTATACAGGTAGATTAAAAAATACAGGACAAACTAACAAAATAGCAGTAAAAAGAAAGCAAACCAATATAAGAACAAAAAAAAGAGCCAAATAGAAAGCAAAGAAAGACAAAAAAATGAAATTCACGTGCAGCCTGTAGATGATGGATAAAAACAAGCTGAGAGAGGTGCATGCTGGGTAATGTGCGTTGCATGGGTTGTCGGTGGAAACAGATTGGCCGCGTTTCACCTGCGACGCTGAGTCAGTGGACCAAATGGTGGAAGCTCTCAAAACACAGTGAAGTGAAAGAGGACAGTAAAACATCAAGAGACGCAGGATCTGATTCTGGTCCACTCAGTGGGCGGGTTCTCCTCAAAAGACACATTTACATATTTATCTTATTTTAATGTTAAGACTGTAAAAACAGTGTTTCTCTTAACAAATACTTTTGGTAACTTAGTCCTTAAAAACCGTTTTGAGCCTAGATATACATGTTGACAGAACTGATTTATTTTTAGACACAATTTTTTGTGGAAATATTTGACCACCCTTGACCCAAAGAGAGCAATCCACTCTTTTCCGAACGAGGACCATGGCCTCAGATTTGGGGGTACAGGTTCTCATCCCAGCTGCTTCACACTTGGTTGCAAACTGCTCCAGTGAGAGCTGAAGATCACGGCACGATGACGCCAACAGGACCACGTCATCTGCAAAGATGATGGGGGCAGCTGTGGCTGAGTGGTTGGAGCAGTCGTCCTCCAATGCGAGAGTTGGGGGTTCGAATCCACCAGCAGTCACATGTCGAAGCGTCCCTGGGCAAGACACTGAACCCCTAATAGCCTCTGATGTGTGTCCCATCAGTGCATGAATGTGATCTAAAGCTCTGATTAGTCTCTTTAGAATGAGTTGTTCAATTAGCTTTGTAGAGATCTAGTATAGAGCTGCATGAATGGGTTCTCCTGATGAACACAGACAAGACTGAGGTTTTGGTTTTTGGACCTGAGCACCTTAGGAATGAATATTTCAGTCTTTCTCCCTCCTTGGATGCATTAATCTGTCCTCCAGCTC